TGAAAAAAATGGAAAACATACGTGGCATATGTAGACTAGCTGTTCTTGATTACGGCTAGATTTACCAACTCTAACTCCCATAGAAAATTTCAGTTTGATCAGTAACTGCTGTCAGTTTGACTTAGTAGTGTATATGGCTAAAGCAAAAATTTTTGTTGCTTTTCACCTAATTAACCATATCTATAGTATAAGACAGAAATTGAAAGGGTGATACTGTGTGCCATATGTAGGGATGGACACTGAAATAATGGGTGCTTAATTGTTATTGGAATTTGTACTTTGAACAGTGTTGTCGAGGAAGTGATGGTAGTTTGAATGAGATCGATGTCTTTGTAATGTAGAAGTCATACAGATGTTCTCCAAAATTTCTACACTTAGGCATGCAAAGGTATTAAGTGTTTATTTTCACTGGATTCTGTACAGTGATACCTGAGCAGTATCCAGAGTATGGAACTTCCTATAATAAGGTTTTCATGTTTCTCTCTGATATTTTTTTCTCCCCTATATATATAAATATATATTGTTTTTAAGGTGATTACTTTGGCTATTGCAAGTTGCTGATGGTGGACTAGTAGAATATGGACTGTTAAAGTAATGATAGGTATGCTGTCATATTTCTCAAATGATATATAATTTTGTGGTTTTTTTTTTTTTTATTCACTTGATGTTCATGGGAAGTCTGATCTCTCATGAGTGTGTTGCATAGTCATTTAAGGTAGGATTTGCTTCACTTGACTTTGACTGTCTAAAAGCTACGTATCTAGTCCAGAGCTCTGATTCTGTGAGTTCATGATGTGACAGCCCTCTGCTCCTGAAAGGAGAAGGCCTTGCTCCTCCTCCTGCCTATTTCCTTGGCCCTTTGTTCCTTTCTCCTAGCCAGTACCAGCTGCCTACTTTCACTGATGATGTAGCTTGTTGGATTTTTTTCGTGAGCTAGCGTGACTCACTGACCTCACAGAAAAACTATTGAGTGTTTTCTGCTTGTTTAAGTGTGTTGGCTTCTTGAGTTAAATCAGGTCATGGAAGGGGCTGATGAATGACAAATCTAGGAATGGGGATGAAGAAAGGAGGGGCGGAACTTCCCATTGCTGGTGACAGTGAGCTCTTATATTGGATTACACTTTTTCATTAGTTCATTATCTAGTCTTACTGTAGACTCTTAAGCAGGGATGAGAAGAGGTAGTGTTTGAAGAGTCACTTTCATGAGGCTGTGCTTCCTTTGAGTGTCTCACTTATTCTTTTAGGAAAATAGCTTATTGTTTCACAAGACCTTGGCTGATTCGATTAGGAAAAAAGAAAAGATTAAACCATGCATTGCATGAAACATCTGTTTGGCTTTCAACAGATTTTACTGAGAATTTTACTACTTGAACAGAACACGGCACAGGGCTAGATACTGTTAATTTTTTCATCAATAGTTGCAAAATTACATTCATTGTATCATCTAACTGTTTAAATAAGTGTTCAAATACAATGAATTTATGTGTTTTAAGTGTGGCTGTGGTATGGAAAGCAGAGTCATGAGTAAGTTATCTATGTCACCCAGGTGAATTACCAATACATGCTGAAGTCATGTAATTTGGTCATGCCAGGTAAGCTAGAAGGAAGCCTTGTTGCTGTAAACAACAGGCAATAAAAATTGTAATATAAATAAATGAAATGATATTGATATCTTCATATTTTTCTCTAAATGCAAGTATTCTCACCATGTTAAGTGTTTGTAGCAAACAAAAAGTTAAAATAATATAGCTGAAAATCTCGTGAAAGAAGAAAAGCCCTTTCACAATGTGTAGATATAAAGAAGACAGAGATATGAAGTAGGTCTTTAAACAACATTTCTCTCTGTATGAAAATAAACAATTGGAGAAGAAAGGCAAAACAAAGGTAATTCTTGGAAATGTAATTGAGTTACTTCACTTAGCAAGATATTCTACAATAAATATTGCTATTTTAGCTGATTGTGCACTTCCTAGGTTTCAGGACTCTGCACCAATACCTTTATATGTATACCTGCACAAAATGATGTTAAGATTTCATAATATGAATTTGGGGTAACTGATACAAGTTTGCGGTTCTGTAACATGATAAAATTTGGCAAATATATAGGTGGAAAATTAGTTTTAGATATGATGTGGTTTTAGTTTCTTTAAAGTATGTTTTCTGCTTCTCTACTTCTTGAAAAGATCTCCAAGAGAGGAAGAAATATTAACTAGTGTTCCTTTAAAGTATTTCTCAAAAATTATGGGTGCAGTCTTGTGTAATTTTGAAGATTATTTGAGGTCTGCTCATTGTCTATGAGCAAGTATTGTAAGCCATTAGCACAGAAGAAATTCTTGTTCATAATATGCTTACAATATTTGTAGCCCTAAACGATGTTGACTATTGACAGTTCACTGCCAGGAATTATTTTATGATGGGGGGGGGATTTTTTATTTGTAAGAATGTGAGTAGGTTAAATATTACAAGTTGCTATTAATAATTTCAAGGAAAGAGCTCTTGTGAAGTAATGACATCTCTATGTTATTGTAGTTTGTTTCACAGTCACCAGGAATGCAAATCATGAAATTTGCCACTAGATGTCCCTGCAAGCCCAAACAGTTTTGTTTCCTTAAATACATATTGCTTAGGTATCTGCAGTCTGAAACAATTGTTTTGTAAGCTACGATTTTTTCCCTCTGTTCTTTCATTTTTTCTTTTTCATGAAATCTTCATGCAGATGAATACATGACCAAGTGTGTGTCTTGCTTTATAGCTTGTGCGCTTTTTGATAGTAGCAAAAGCTGTGAGGAGACAATACACTTCCCACCTGCAGCAGCTTGGAATTGAGAGTACAAAAGGCTGCACTTCCATTTATCTTTTTCTTTTGGTTGATATGCTCTCAGAAAATGCCGTGGATTTTGGTGTCTTTGACTTTATATCTGTTATGCCACTTCAGAAATACTTCTTACTCAAGTAAGCTGCAGGATTCAGGCCCGACTTTAAATCCTGCGTTCCTAATTCTGAGCTTTGGCTTACGGTTTGATAGTTACATTTTGTATCTGTAGCTTATGAAAGCAAAGAACTGAGACAGAGAAAACTACTATTGCCTAGTGGTTGGGGTTTTTTTGGGGCTGTGGTTTGTTTGTTTGTTTGTTTGTTTGGGTTTTTGTTGTTGTTGTTTTTACAGTGATCATGATAGCCCTTCTGGTATGCTTAGAAATTCTTAGGGATGTGCTGCCTTGGGTTTTCTCTGTGTACCAGAACTTTCTGTCCTCCCACATGGTTTATTGTCCTTAGGATCACTGACCCGTTCTCCTCACACAGCTGTTGGTTTAACAATTGAAAATGTCTTTATATTGAGTTTGGAAATTGTTGTTGTCCTTTGTTTCTCAACAACCAACAAAATTCAGGAATGAAAAATAGATGCTCTATTGATTAGAAGGGTTTTCAGAACTTGTGCTATTAATGTTTGAAATTGGTTGTCCATATAGGACTGTCACTGGGGAGAATATTCTTTATTCTGATTTCTTCACCCTTGCTCTCTCAGCAATTTCGGTAAAGCAGAATACAAAGTTGCTGTTGTCACTTTGCCTATACTAGTGTTGTAACTCTGGTAGATTTTCCTCTGACCTCTTCCCATGGAATTGATAGAGGAAGGAAAAATGGAAAAGAAAACTTAAATGTAAGACTTTCTTGACATTATTATGTCTTTTAGTGGAATGGGCACTGACATGCAACGTTTATTTTCGTATGTGGAAGATAGATTTTGATCTTGCTTATAGCTCAGGGGTTTATAAAATCAAATGGTAAGTGTTTAAGGTAGATGCGTGAAAGATTTCGAGTGGAATGGTAAAAAATATTATATATTCAACTGTATATGTAAGGAAGGTGAGGCATTTGCAGTGATGGTGGAGATTTAACATTTTTCCTGTTTGAGTTTTACTTTGTACAAAGTTACACTTTGTCACTTTGAATTGCACTTTGTACACTGCAACCATGGAGTTCTTAGGCATCAGTCCAGTTATGCCAAAAGCTAAAATGGCAGAGTAGTTGGTTTCAAAGCTTTGCAACTTCCCTAAAATTCAGTTACAGTCCTCCCTCCCCCAGATCCTTTAGAAGTGTCAGTAATGGTCAGATTAATACATCTTGCTTCTAATATCGAAAAAAACTAATGAGGCATATTAGAATACTTCCCGTTTCTCAGCATCCGTCGATTTGCAGCTTTCTCACACTAATCTGATATTGTCACATTTAGCAAAACTCTCTCTGGAAAGGTCACAAGAAACCACAAAATCAACTTTGAAAACGAGGAAGTGACATGTATCAGCGATATATTTCAGGGCTGAACTTTGGGCAGGTATCTTCCAGACTATCCGTGACGCCTTAACTCTTCTCCAGAGAGGGCTTGATAGGAATTCACCAGTGAGAATTATCTGCTCCTCTTCTAGCTGAAATGATGGTGTACTTAGTAGTAAAACTTGTTAGGATAGCGTGACAGACTGTGACTGTGATAAGTAGTAGTAAAAGCAGTATGTGTCTGATGTCTGTGGCCTCTGCTTGAACTCTGGTTAACAAGGCATAATTAGGCATATACTAGCATCATAGTTTGAGTCTCAGTGTGCAGCATAAGTAAAAATAACATTTCATGTAATCTGTTGGATAGAAGTGCTTGTGCTTACTTTGCATTGACTCAAATAATCTTCATGTTTAACTTTATTCTTTGCCTCTGGAAGGACTATTACTTTTCAGGACAGGCAGAATTAAGCAAAGAGTTGCCCTTTCAGTAGAGGTTTCTAACCTGAGTTACAGCAGAGCCAGGATTCTTCTGTACTGAAAGCAAAAGCAGTGCGTGAAATCTTTGAACTGTGAATGGACTTGACTGCTAATTATGTGTCCTTGTATTTGTTCAGGTGACTTGATCTTCTGGGATGTCAGCAGAAAAAGTGGATGGCGTTGTAGATTAGTTATAAGTTCATTTTTATTTTGTCTTCTCCGTACTCATTGTGAACAGTCATCACAAAATGGATGCTTTGAGCAGTCTCCTTCCTCCCGTGGTTGGAAATGGTGATACGGCTAATTCACAAGAATTACAAAAACTTCTGATTGATGAAAAAATGCGATGTGAACACCATAAAGCAAATTATCAAACTATAAAGGCAGAACATCTAAGGTACACTAATTTAAACAGGTTTCTTCATTTGAGCTGTTACAAGGTGAAGCTAAATGTTAGGTGGAAGGGATCTGTGTGTGTGTGTTAGCTATTTCTGTATTTAAGGACAGATTTGAGTGTTGTTCATATTGGAAAATAAACAATTCAAAATACCTTAAGACGTTGCAGATTATGTTTCTGCAATACTTTTTATGCTTGCAAATATGGGATAACTTTTCAGTATATTAGAGGAAGAGGATATTAATAGCTTAGTTCTAACTTGGTATTTCTATGTTTGCTTCTGCACGTGAGTTTTTTGAGCTTTAAGATCTAATTTTAGAGGGTAAATATAAAATAAATAAGTATTTTATCTTGCAGATTACAGGAGGAATATACAAAATCACAAGATGAACTGAAGCGTTTGTTAGTTGAAAAGCAAACTGTACATGACAAATTTCAGCTTCTTCTTGCTGAATATCAAGAGGAGTTGCTGGGTAAAACACAAGAGCTGGAAAAACTGAAGACGCAGGTGAGATAATTTACTGGCAGGACTTAATAAGAATTTTAATCCTGTAATAGGGCCATGCATATATTTCTGTTTATTTAACATGTATATATCTAGCTTGAATATATTTTGGATATCTTGAAATTCACCCAACCCAAGTAACGTTTCTTCTCTAGAGTGACTATGGGTTGAAATTACTGTTTTCTTGTTTAACTGAATCTTCTAAATCCTGTCGTTATGTGCTGTGTTAATAGTAAGACCTTCAGTCTCTGTCTGTGCATGCTCTCCTGTTATGGGGAGAATGATCTGCTCTGGAGGATAACTGAGGTGCCTAAATCTGTTAGGATAAGTGAATGGAAAAACAGGAATTTGTTTATCTTTGTGATGACAGCTTTCTTCATCTTAAAAAAAACCAAAACCAAACCCAAACACAAAACCAAACAACCTCCCCCAACATTTAAGATAACTTGGATGACACTTTCTGTAACTGCTTGTTTCCTTAAACTAATGCAGGACATGTTCTTAGGAAACAAATATAGCATCTAACAAAGGATCCCAGACTCTGAATGGAGGAGATGTGCCTCGGTACCATAGCTAGAATTAGTTTTCAGGGACTTCAGGATACAGATAAGTGGAAGAAAAGTAGAATAAATTACAATATGTCACAGGCTGTGGATGAAAATTTTTTTAACATTCTTTCTTGGTAGGTAGTTTGCTGTATTAACCATACCCAAGAAAACTTAACAATATACCATACAGCATGGAGCTTAAGGCAGGGAATCTTTCCTGATCTTAGTTTCATTTCAAATCAGTACCCATGTATCTGTTGGAGAATATGTATCTAATGTGTTTTACAAAGAATTGGCTTGGTATTGCTCATTTTGACTCTTTGGGGTTGGTTCACTTACTGTTTAAGTTTTTCCAAATGCTAATTCTTTATCTTTTATGTGAGACCACTTTTCCTTCCTCCCCTCCCCCACAAAGGAGATAAATCTCTTGGCAATTCAGCTTGACATTTGTATTGCTTCTACCAGTAAATACTGACATTTTAAATGCTTCTGTTGTCTTCCCAGAATATTTTTAGTTTGCTAATATAATTTTTTTTGCTTCTGTAACTACTATTGAAAATGCTTTAGAAAAACATAGAAAATTAAGCAGGATTCCTAAAATCATATTTGAAATACTTTATTCCTGGCTGTTTGTCCTATCACAGTGTAAATAAATAAAGGAATATGACTAGTTATTTATGATACCTTTCTGTCTTAAGGTGCTAACTCCTCTAATTGGAATCTCCTATGACAGAACGTTATCGGAAGCTAGAAAATGTAAGTAGTAAGTATTGAAATTCTGTTTCATTTAGAGTAGTGATCACCAGTTCGTAGTTGTTTCTAAAACCTTAGGAAATTAAAACTGAAAGGGGAGCAAAGTATGACATTCTTTGGTACTGTTGCCCCAGGCAGTGAAGGTTGAAACCCTAGAAGAGGGAGAAGGAGGGATTCAGTTCATCAAATATAACTTGTGATATGATAGGACATTGCATGGACATTTGAAGGAAATAAATCTGAAAACTTCTCTGATTGATGTTTTTGGTTTTTTTTGTCTAACTTAGGAAGTGGAAAAATACAGAACAGACTATAACAAACTTCGTTATGAACATACTTTTCTGAAATCAGAATTTGAACATCAAAAAGAAGAACATGCACGTATTTTAGAAGAGAAGAAAATAAAATATGAGGCTGAGGTACATAGAAGGTTACAGTAGCTTAAAATGTATCTGATGACAAAGCTGCTTGAACGTTGTGAAAATGTTGGTACTTGATGGGTTGTCAGTTTGATACCATTTCATAATGCAGTGTTTGTTTCCGTTCTCTTAATTCTCAAAACACTTTCATGACTTAGCCTAAAGCTGTCTCTGTAGGTTTGTTCAGTGATGTGTCGCAATATCATTTGTGCTATTAAAAGTAAGAATAGACTTGCCTTCTGATAAATGACAGCCAGTAGCTTTGCTTAATGCTTTTTTTAATCACATTTGTGATGGCATTTGAGACATTATGCCAATCTGAAATTAATAAGTCATCTGAGCAACCGATGTAAGTTTAGATTTTAAATTACTTATGTGGCAACTAATCCAAGAAGGCGGCAGCAGAAGATATTGTTAATACCAGACAAGGGTACATTTTGCAACTAAGTTGGATCATGACAATGGTGGTCAAAAGGATACTGAAAACTTTGGTAACTTTATTTCAGTTGTATTAACTCTTGAATAAATCATTCATTAATTTTCTGTTTCAGAATTGAACTTTCAAAAGTGTAGCTAAATAAATTGCCAGCTTATTTATGTTTTAAATATATGCAGCAGTGTAAATGTGTTGCGTGTGTCTTTTGCATATTCATTTAAGTATTTGTCTGGGAGTATATATCCTAAGATGCCAGATCTGAATGTATTAGTCCAAACATGAGGCACAAATCAGAGCAATCATCGCTTTCAAAATCGATCCAAATTTGCAAATGCAACACATTAAAAACAGAACAGTTGTCCTTCTCGGAGCTAAACCCACATGCTGCTTTACAGCTTGCCTCTCTTGTGGGCTTGTTGAGTTTGTGCTAGTCCTGCAGCTAATTAGCACACTTACAGAGAATGAAACTACCTTGAGCCCACGGCGCAATGTGATCTAGTTTCTCTCTTAGAGCCTTTTTAACCTTCCATGCCATTTAGCACGAGGCTACAAAAACATCCTAATTCTTAAATGATTGCTTGGGCATGTCATGAAGTAAGTCTTTGAATCTCCTCATAAAAGGGATTTGGAGGGCTTTTGCTGCAGAAATTGTCTTTGCTCCTGCCATGGTTTCAGCTGGGATAGAGTTAATTTTCTTCCGAATAGCTGGTATAGTGCTGTGTTTCGGATTTAGTAGGAGAATGATATTGATAACACACTGATGTTTTAGTTGTTGCTAAGTAATGTTTATACTAGTTAAGGACTTTTCAGCTTCCTGTGCTCTGCCAGGTGCACAAGAAGGTGGGAGGGAGCACAGCCAGGACAGCTGACCCAGACTGGCCAAAGCTATGCCCTATGCCGTATGATGTCATGCTCAGTAATAAATTGGGGAGGGTTGGCCAGGGGGCAGCGATCGCTGCTTGGGGATGGGCTGGGCATCGGTCAGTGGGTGATGAGTAATTGCATTGTGCATCACTTATTTTGTATATTCTTTTATCATTATTATTTTCTCTTCCTCTGCTGTCCTATTAAACTGTCTTTATCTCAACCCACGAGTTTTCTCACTTTTACTTTTCCGATTCTCTCCCCCATCCCACGGGGCGGGGGAGGGTGAGCAAGCGGCTGTGTGGTGCTTAGTTGCCGACTGGGCTTAAACCATGACAGCTCCATAGAGATGACTGATGCAACTTCTTAAAGCACTGCTGCAGATCAGAGTTTGGACTAGTCTCCAAATATCAAGAGAACTCTTACATACCTTACTTTCTCACTCTTTGGCTCCCGATGTTACATTCAGTCCATGTAACTCATTTTGAAACACTAGAATCTATATATTTACAGTCTCAAGATTAGTTTGTACCTATTGTACTACCTTGTAACAAAAAAATTTTTTTTTGCTTTATTTTCTGTCTGACAGGGCCCAATCACGTTGACTGCCTTGAGTTACTAGCAGATTTGAGTTCTGTTGTGGTTATAGAATTGTAGAATCATAATATAAGTTGGAAGAGATCTCCCTCTAATCCAACATCTTGCTTAAAATACTGAAGTGTAATGAGATCGAGTTGTTCAGGGCCATATCCAGTTAAGTCTTGAACATCTGCAAGGATGGAGATTCCACAACCTTCCTGGGCAAACTATTCCAGTATTTAGCCATCTTCATGGTAAACTTTTTTCCTAATATCAAATTGGAATTTCACATGTTCCGTCTTGTGTCCATTGCCTCTCTCCCATCACCATGCATCTCCTCTTCTCCAAGCTGAAGAGGCATAGTTCTTTCAGGCTGTCCTTATATGTCATGTTCCCCAACCCCCTGACCATCTTGGTGGCCATCCACTGGACTTGCTCCAGTTTGTCATTATTCTTTGTGTACTGGACACAAACTCCAGATGCAGTCTTACAGGTACTAGAAGGGGACAAAGGATCACTTCCCTGGATCTGCTAGCTATCCTTCTGCCAATCTGTCAGGATGCAGCTGGTCATCTTTGCTGCCAGGGGTAGTCTGCTCACTAGTGTTCAACTTGTTGTCCACTAGGACCCCCAGATCCTTTTCCGTGGAGCTGCTTCCTAGACAGCTGCCCCTAGCCTGTACTGTTGCATTGGGTTACTCCATCCCAGATGCATGACTTGCTCTTGTTGAAGCAGTTCCAGTCAGCCCATTCCTTTAGCCTGTCCAGTTCCCTCTGAATAGCAGTTCTGTTTTCCAGTACACTGACCATTTCCCCCCAGTTTGGTGTCACCTGCAAGCTTGCTGAAAGTGTACTCCATCCCATCATCCAGGTCACTTATGAGGACATCAATCAGTATTGGACCCTATACTGGTATCAGAAAGACCCCACTTAGTTCCAGGCAGTCAGCTGGGCTTTGCACCACTGATCATCACTCTTTGCGCCTGGCAGCCCAGCCAGTTTTCTACCCACTTTCTCATCCGCTTTTCCAGCCCATACCTCACCAGTTTGGTCGGAGAGAAGATTATGGGAGACTGTATCAAAGGCCTCCTTAAAATCAAGGTATACAAGATCCACTGCCCTCTCCTTGTCTGCAATGCCAGTCACCTCTTTCTAGAAAGCAGAGAAGTAGGTCAGGTGTGATTTGCCCTTGGTAAACTCTGCTTTCCATCACCTTGTCTTTCATGTGTTTAGGAATGGCTTTTAAGAGGTTTTGCTTCATAACCTTCACAGAGACTGATGTGAAGCTGACTGTCCTGTAATTACCTGGATCCTCCTTCTTGACCTTTTTGCTCTTCTTGATGATGGGCGTGCTGTCTGCCTCTTTCCAGTCATCAGGAACCTTCTCTGATCGCCATGACTTTTCAAAGATGATAGAGAATAGCCTTGCAATGATACCAGTGTGCTCCTTCAAAATGCTTGGATCCATTCCAAGGACTTGTGTCTGTCCTGTGGATTAAATGATCCCTAACGTTTTCTTCTTCTACTCTGGGTACTGCTTTACTCCCACAGACTGTTAGGGAGCTCAGGGACATCTGAGGCCTGAGGACAAGCCTTATCAGTGAAAACTCAAGCAAAAAAGGCATTGAAGAATGGGTCTGTTGATTTTCCTAGTCTAAGAAAGAAAATAAATGTGAATGTAATTTCTTAATATTTTACATGCACACTGCTGCTGTTCCCCGAATTGTGAACTGCTGTCTTTGTTGCTGCCTGATACCTAACCAATGTAAAAGCTTTTATTTTTCTGATTAATAACTATCAGATTGCAAGGCTGGATAAAGATAAAGAAGAACTCCATAATCAGCTGCTTAGTGTTGATCCCACGAGGGACAGTAAACGTGTGGAGGCACTCTCTAGAGAAAAGGCACAACTGTATCAGAAATTAAAAGGCTTAGAAGCAGAAGTAGCAGAACTAAGAGCAGAAAGAGACAATTGTGGTGTGCAAGCAGAAAATGTTCAAAGAGTACAAGTACGACAGTTAGCTGAGATGCAGGCTATGACAAGGTCTCTAGAGGTAAGATTCTTTCTTTTGTTAAAATTCTGCCTCCTTGTAGAGTGTAGCGAGAATAACGCTTGATAGAACTGTCACTGAAGTCACTGATAATTTTGCCATTGACTCCACAATTTGAATTTGTACATTTTGGATTTAAAAACAAATTGTAAGTACATTGGGAGTCATGTACTGCCAATGCAACTTTGGAAAGGTGGAGACCTCAACTGAGAGATTCTGTTGAATGATCTCCTTTCTAAACAGGGGAGTGCTATCCGTGTTTGCAGCCAGTAAGATGCTCATGTCAGCACTTGTCACTTGTCTGGAGTTAGAAACTGATGACAATATGTTAATAATCTGCTACAGTAAATTTTTTATGCTTTTCAAAAATGTTCTATGATGCTCCCCTATTTCTTTAATCCTTTCCTCATGTGTCATCTTCCTTCTTGCCTACCTTTGTCTCTCCTTTCTCCAATACATTACTGCAATTGTTTAGTTCTTGGCTGTTGCTCTCCCTTAAAAAACCTTTCGTATTTCTGGCCTGTTGTATGTTTCCCAGCGTTCTACTGTATTCTTCATCTGTGGTCTTCAGTCCTCCTGTCAGTTCTTGCTATCTTTCTAGGTAGTGAGTCTTTCCATGCAGACTTCTTGCACAGTTGCAGCATACAGATAGATGGTTCATTTTCCTTTTTACTGTTATCAGTGCTGTACACCTTTCTTACAAAATGCTCTGATCACAACTTAAAAAGAAAAGTGCTGTAATATTCCTAATTTAGAAAAGTTAAAAAAAAGTCCTGCTGGAAACAGGTCCGTTTGGAAAAAGGAAGGTGAAATCCTAGGTTTGATTACCTTTTTGATACTTAGTGAAGCTCCAGGTCTTGAGTCTATAATACTCAGAGTAATTGCATTTTACTTCCTCTCTGTGATGTTAATTCTTCAGTTAGGATAACTGTACAGGCTACAGGCCAACATATGACATCTTTTTGAGCACCACTTATAGTCGTACTGGTGTTTACAGCCCAGTAATTTACTGGTAGGCATACCTACTGCCTCCTAACCAAGTCAGATTACCTCTGCCTTTCGTGAAGTAGGATTGAAAATGTGTGCGATTCTGTGCAGGCAGTGTTAGTAAACACAGTTGTGACTTTCGAGTAAAATTCAAGACCCTTGTTGTATTGGAACATATTGTTCAGCAGAGATAAATATTTATGTATTATATTATTATATAATATGAAGGATCAGTAATATCTGAAAGCCCAGATCAATTGAACCTTTCGAGTGAATAGCAAGAGACAGCCCTGCTCCAAAAATCTTACAAATACCTCCTTTATTCAAGGCAGAAAAGAAGTCTGCTGAACTACAGATTGATCGAATTGAGAAAGAACTGCGGATGAGTCATGAGCAAAACATTCTCTTAACTAGCAAACTTCACAAATCTGAACGAGAAGTCAATTCCTTAGCTGCTAAAGTAAGTGCTTTTATGGTATCTGAAATACATTTTTCATATCCTGTTTTGTTTAAGTTTTTCTATTTATATTTTACATTAAGAATAAAGTAACAATGTCTTCTGCTGTGATGTAAAATAGGTTTGAATTTTTTTCCCAGTTTCAGTTGGAAGATACAGAATATGTGACTTTACAGGAAAAACGTCATCCCGAAAACTATCTCTAAAGATCGAGGTTATGCTCTTTTTATTTGATATTCTAGATCTTTTTTCTAAACAGAACAGGGCTCGAAGATGTGTCTTTATATTCATGTTTTTAGCACTCATGAAAATAGCAAGCCTTATTTGATGGAAACAAGCATTACTTTTCCATAAAGTGTATAAAGTGCAATAGAGCTTTAAATGGATTTTTTTTTTCTTTTTTGTTTTAATGGAGCTATGGCTTCTGGAGATCTTAAGAGGTATTCTCTGAATGGACTGCATTAGCTTCAGGAAGCAAGCTGCATTGGAATCACCTGCAGAGATTTAGGTTACATTAGAAGCAGGGTAGTCACATTAGCGTAGCGTTCTCCTTGGGCTAATGCCAGCGTAGCTTGTACAGAAACATTTCTGTACAGCACTGCATCGTATCATTTTAAGTAGATCATTGTCTTGCAACATGTTTGTGTGTCTTAGTTGTTGGGTTGGCACCAGATCTTAGAGGTTTTGTTCTATGTTTGTATGCTTGGGTTTTTTTTAGATCTTAAAGAAATGTCTAGAAAAATATTTAAGAAAAAAGAGATCAGAAGGCTTCAAGTTCGGGGAAAACCTGAAAGTGCTTAAGGAGCTTGACATCAGTGTTTAGTATTTCAGCATAATTAGGTTAGTATGGATGCTAGATTCAGAGTTTTATCTGGTTGCAGTGACTCCTCAGCTACACAACTTAAAAAAGATCATTTATGCAATTTCATATGTGATTATTTGAATAAACAAGAAAAATCAAAACACTAGTAAACCGTTTTACCTTCAAATGTTGCAGAATACTTACATTACTTTATGTAAATTTGAGTCAGGATACTAGTCCTAATGAAATAGTTACTTAGCTAAATATTAGCTTTCTGCTGTCTCTTGTTCCCTCCTTTCTGGAGAGAATATTGGGTAATAAATTTTTATCACATCTGTCAGTTCCTGGTAGCAAATTTAATCCCCTGTGTGTTCTTACCTTTCTGGAGAGGCTTTAGTTAGTTCTGAACTAACTGTAAAGCCAGTAACTTTGGTCTTGTATATCTATCTGAATGCAGAATTATTTTAAGCTGTCTGTTGACTTAAAGCTATCCTGCATTTCTGAATATACTTTCCAAAATAACACTGACATGCACTTTGTATGGGTATGACAGTTAATATTGCCATAATATGCCTCAAGAAAGATACAGTACAGGAAGAAAGCTTTAACTTCTACCATAGTTGTTCTTTAACAATCTCAGATTTAATTAAAAACAGGCTTTACAGTGCACATTTGAGTGTGAAGTATTTCATTTTGGTCCTTAATCCAAAAAAGTTCTAATTTACTGTAAGAATAGGATATACCTGTAGCAGTATTTAAAGCCTCTTTATACAATGTGTCAGACTTGTCTCACATGAATAATAAATGGGAGGGGAAAACTGTTAAACATTTTTTAATCAATTGTATATTAGAATATGTAGAAGATTGTTATAGTCTTTGCTTTTTGTATCAACTGGTGTTCTCTTCTCACCTCCAGAAGTAGGAGAAAACTGAAATGTTCAGTGGTGTTTCTTGAAGGGAGGAAAGTAGAAACTAATTTCTATACTAACCTCCACCTGCTTCTGCACCCACTCAAACTTATTCCTGAGCACAGGTGCATGCATTTGTCTTCCAGATTTTGTGCCTTAAAAAAGCCACCTTAAATCTTTGCAAGTTGCCGTGAAATGTTCTCAACTTAGTATTTAAGGAACCAAATCCACCGTGTAGTTACTTAATAAGCTACTATGTCATTCCGAACCTTTTGCCACTTGTATATGCTAGCAGGTTGTAATTTCATTTGTCATTGTGAATGGATTTTCATTATAAGTGCTTTCCTCTAGATATTTAATTCTCATTGACCGTGTAATTACTGCGTACCAATGCCTAAACTACAGAAAGCTTCCATGCAAGCAGTAATTGTCTTTGATTTGATGTTCTTAAAGCTCCTGCTTTTATGAGGCCATTTGATGTGTATGCCACAGTTGTAGAGAAGTATTTGGTTTAAAATGCACTTTAAAACTATGAAGACTTGGATTTTGAGAAAGTAGTGTAGCACTCCAGGAGGTCAGGGGGACTATAAGTAGTTGTAATTATATCTGAAATCTTATCTGAGCTCTCTGTTGACTTAAAGCCATCCTGCATTTCTGAATATATTTTCCAAGATAACACTGGCATGCGCTTTCACAATATTTGAAATTACTTGGAGGAGCAATGGATAATCTGATTTTGCATATCACTGTTTTGTTTTACTTAAGGAGATTCAATTTAACTTTATTTTAGCTTGACTCTGAGGGATCTTTAGTCAGAAGTGAAGTGTGTGTAAAATGACATGCTAATGCTTGAGTTAGCAAGGCATCAGTCTTATGCAATTTGGATCAGTGTCATAGCAAGATATTTCCAATGAGTAGTCTTTTCAGAAATACCCCAATATTCGGAGGCTAGCTTGTAGAATGTATAGTACTTACTCAGAAACCAAGTTTTCACAGGCAATCCTGCGCATCAGTGGACGTATCACCAAGACTTCTTAAAAGTATAATTTTTCTACACTGTAGCTTGTAATAACTGGCTGGTTAAAGATGAAATATATGTTAATAGTCAGACAGCCTGGTTCCTGGAATATATGTTGTGTTTCATTTTTTTAATCAGGGAATATATAAAACTTGCGTTTCAAGATGACTGACAACTCATTCAATAATCTTCAGTGTGTGACTTGAGGAATTAATAAAAACCTGTCAATAGCACTGATTATGATTTGGGGAATCAGATCATGTCAATAGCTTTAGTGTTGCAGTATCAATATAATCACCATTAAAAATTATCTACAAGAGTGGATATTCTTGATTGGCTTCAGAAAAGCAGTGGATGAAAAAAAATATTTGAGGCACGTTTAAAATAAGCATAGTCCGTGATTATTTGGCAGATTTTCTTGTTAGCAAAGTATCGCATGAAAAACTTACAGTAAAGCTGCAAATGTATGTATATTTATTTTAGTTGATTTGGTTTTTTTTCCTAATTCATAGGTAGAAGAACTTAAACATTCACATAAATTGGAAGTAACAAATGTCAAACTGGAGGCAGCAAGAACAAAGAGTGAGGTAGAAAGAGAGAGAAACAAGATTCAAAGTGAAATGGATGGTAAAATGTGCAATTAAATTCTAATGATTTCTTTTGTAACTTCTAGTTAGAATACTACAATTATTTTTCCTACAAACATTCCCCAGCCTTCACCTTCTACTTCTGGTCTAGGTCAGAGATCTGACAATTCATTTTGTATCTGAAATAACTGTGTTGGTCTACTAGGTTAAGAAGAACAGTTACAGAAAAATTTTGCGTTTATGTAAATTGGTGAATTTGTGACACAATTTGAGCATAATCTGTTTCAAATCATGTACTTCACATTGTTATTTTTTCTATTATTGACAAATTATAGAGTCTTTCACGCTCTGCTTGAAACCTTAATGTACAATAGGGCTTCAGTGGTTGCTTTGGTTTCTGATTCTGTGTCCATGGGCTTGATAACAATTGGGTAAGGCTGCCATGTGAAACAAAATACAATTTCTAGCTCGTTTTTTGAAGAAAATAGGCAGTGTTCTAAGCTACCTAGTACAGCTGAGTTACACAGGCAACTTGAACTAGCTTTCTAGAGTGAAAAGGCCAAAGCTTTCTAGCACTAGCTATGTGTTGATGATTTAAATCACTACACAGCTTTCAAGTGGACTGTCCTCACCAATTTGCCATAACCCCAAAATACAGTACCTTCGTCTTCCTGGAATAGTTGTTTCTGTTCACTTGCTTTAATATTAAGTTCTCTAAGAGCAACTAACAAGTGGTGTTTTCTGTATTGACAATGCACTTACAGTATATTGTGAACTAAAAATGTTGGACCCTATGAAATACAAGAGTAAATACAGACAAGATTTAAGCTAACCTGAACTTGCTGTGGAATCCAGTTTACATCACTGAATTATTTAAATAACCAGGAGTTATTGTTATAGCATGTTGGCTTATTTGCCAACGAACAGAGGTGTCTTGGTCAGAATTTTTTAATTTGCATCTTTTGTCCCTGCCTATAGAGTCATAATTTTAGAATTATCTCATTTGGTAATATGAGTGGATTAAAATGTGAGGTTTGTTGTAGGGCAGGGTACTGCGGTTTCACTGGTAACCAGTTACTGTTTACCATAAACTTTTCCATAAAAAGAAAATAACAAATTTTCTTGCTTGACCTTTTTGTAGCTATTGTGGAACACTTGTCTTCTCTTCTTATTTTTTTAAATCCACATACAACTGCTTAGCAGAAATTGCTTTAGCATTTAAATCTATAGTAATATCAACCACTCAATTACTTTCATGTGTTAAAATAATAAACTCTTGTACACAGACATTCCAGTGTAATGGTTACTCTTCAAAAGTTTTTGAAATGTTGCTGTTATACTAAGAAAGGCCATGTCTCTTCTGTTTTTCTTGGGTTTTTTCTCCATTCATTCATTCAATCATGTGAATTGTGATTTTTAGCTCCCTTTTATCGTTTTGTAAAGGTATTTTAATACTGGATTTTATCAGGTTGATATCAATAATGACATTTTAACTTTTTTTAATGTACAATGCAGGATTGCTGTCAGACAAGGAAATTCTTAAGGCAGCTGTTGAACGTCATAAGGTGCTTTTAGTAGAAAAGGATCGGGAGCTAATTCGTAAAGTGCAAGCTGCCAAAGAGGAAGTTTTTGAAAAAATTGCAGCCTTACAGGATGAAAAGTATGTTTGTTGATTTACTGCTCAACTTCTAAAAGAGGAGTGTTTTGAGTAACTTTTAAAAATGTCATTCTTAGCAACTGAACGCTTCTGGCATTTTTTCATGATTCTTGTGTGCATGTTGAATAATGTCTCAGGTTAGAACTCGAGAACAGATTAGCTGATCTAGAGAAGATGAAGCTGGAACAAGATACTTGGAGACAATCTGAAAAAGATCAGTATGAAGAGAAACTACGTGTTGTACAGATGGCAGAAGAATCGAGCAAAAAGGAACTTCAGCGTTTGCGGTAGCGTGGCTTTTCTAACCTTAACAAAAATTTCTCTTTCTTTTCTCCCCTAATTTCTGTACAGTAGTCAGTATAAAAGTTTACTATTCATAGATACACAAATGTTCATTATGGTAAATTAAACAGAATTATCTTTTGCATTGTGAAAAAAGAGGGCAGAATTAAAAATGTGCTGTTAAAAAAAAAAAACAAAACAACAAACCAATTTTTCATCCAAGCCTTTTAAAATGATATGATTTTAATGAATATTTTTAAGACATGATTTTGCAGTATTCATGTTTGTTAAAACTGGGCCCATGTTGGCTGCTGGCATAGCCCCAGCGTTAGAGTAGACCATTTCTCTTTCCACAATGGCACCGTATCCCACAATGGCAAACTGGGACCCTAATACGGTATCTCTTTGAATTGGTTATTATAGTTCTCAGTGAAGCTGTTTTACTATAGGATTTGTATGAAGGTCAGTATGATAAAATGAGCAAAAGTCATACTCCAAAAGCAAACAAATGAACGTATTTCTTACTCCTATATGAATTCTAATAATCAATTTAATATATTTTTTATTATTTAGTTAAATATTTATCAGCCTTTCAAATTTTGCAATATATTCTATTGTCAGACTGATTTGTCCTAACTTCATGGAATCATAGAATGCTTTGGGATGGAAGGGACCTTGAAAGGTCATCTAGTCCATCCCCCCTGCAATTGGCAGGGACATCTTCAACTAGATTAGGTTGCTCAGAGCCCCATCCAGCCTCTCCTTGTATGTTTCCAGGGATGGGGCGTCTACCACCTCTCTGGGCAACCTGTTCCAGTGTTTCACCACCCTCAGTGTGAAAAAAAAATTTTTTTTTTCTTCTAACATCTATATTTTAATTAGATAAAAATAAGGTTGTCTTATACAATTTTAGATTAAAAATTCAACAGCAAGCTATTCAGACAGAGGAGCTGGAAGAAAAGAAACGTGAAAGTGCTGATCTGAAACAGGTAAGGTTTTATTGCATTGTAATGCTTTATAGAGAAATACAATCTTTCCTGCAGTTACCATATCCAGTGGTTGACGATTAGATTGAATTTTTAAGGCTTTTTTTTCCTGAGGGACAAAGCGCACACAACAGCTATTTAAAAGCAAAAGTGTTCAGAAATCAGTCATGCTTTCCTGGACCTTTATAGACGGATTACAGCTTTTTGCCTCATGCTTAATGTGGGTACCAAGGATTTCAAAGCTGAATGTTTATAGACTGGTATATTGAATATGGTTATGCACTATTTAACTGGAGATTCAGTTTCCATGGAGACTTATAAATTGTTTCTAGGTAATGCTTTGCATTTACACTGCATCTCTGATCTGAGGTTCTTCAAGTGCTTAACAGATGTTTCATAAATGAATAAACTAGTGTAAAGAGGTATATTTCTATTGCAGAGTGAATTGATGGCAGTGTTGAAAATAAAACCTAATTCTTTTAACTCCTGCTCGCCCATGATGTTATATTTAGTAGGTAAGAACGTAGCTGTGCATCAAAGTAGCAAGCTGTTCAAGGCAATATTTATTTTTCCTCCACAAATCAGAGCCTGGGGTATCTGAATGTACACGTGGGGAGAGGAAAAGGAAAGGGAAGTCATCCTTTCCACGTGCTGCTGGCTGCAGCGGTTGGACTTTTCAGACTCTATGCCTGTTTTTGTGAACTGGTTGGTACAGCCACTGCGGGCTGTAACGCATTGTGTGTTTTGAGAGGGAACAGTCTGGGTAGCTCCACAGCTCAGCTACTCAATGTTGTGTGGTGCTCTAGTTCTGTTCAGCCCTGGGGCTTAATGTCGGATTTCTTAAGATCTGGGGCCACATCAATGACTGAAGACTCCTGCCCTGCCTCCCTTTCTCATTTTAACTTAACCTTCCTTGTCTAGTAGTGATTTACTGTAAAGCTTCTGGAGAAGCTGTTGAGTAAGGAGAAGAGGAACGAATAAGGCAGGCTTACGAAAAGTGAATGCAGCCAGTTGGTGTCTGCATTTTGCTCTATCTCAGTATCTCAAAATTAGTTATTTGCATACCTTCTCAAATGGAAAAAATTCATTTCTTTGTAGCAAATGCACGATATGCAACTCCAGCTCGCCTCACTTGCTCAATCAGAAAATGATTTACTGGAGTCTAATCAGAAACTGAAGGAAATAATAGAAAGGTTGAAACAAGAATGTCAACATGCAAGGACTCAGGCAGAAAAAGCTCAACTGGAAACAGAGAAGTAATTTTTTTCTTCTTTTTGGCTTTACTTTTGCTTTTCATATTGCTTATATTCCTTGCACATGGATTACTTACTATGGATTATAGATTCTGAATAAAGTTTGAAATTAAAAATTAACAGGAAATATTGGACAATTGTAAAAAATGGCTGTACCTTCTTTTTCTGGTAACTTGAGAAATAGGAGTTTGTTTCCATTCATGTCTGTTACAATTCTTGACTAGTGAATTACAGTATTTTTATAAAATGAGATCCTATGTATATTGAAGTGGATCCAGAATTTCACACACAGTTCTTTTAGGAGTGTTTAAGGTTTGATAAGGTTTCAGGGACCCAGTCTGTATATGTGTGCATATACTTTTTCCCCTCAACCACTAGATCCTTTTAGCTGATACGAGGCAAATAAAAGCTGATTGGATATCTTGTAGTTGCTCTCATCAAAATGAAAAATAATCCCTTCTTTGCGCCATCTTGACCACATACAATCAAAATATGCTAATAAATGCTGGAAGAAACCAAATCTTGTTCAGAGCCCTTACAGTAATGGACACTTTCCTGGAATTTAAAGATTAGTTTGTCAGTTAGTCTGAAATGGCTGTTTAATATTTCCTAGACTAATAACCAAATACATGTCTAATTTGTACTGGATTATTGTGTGGTGGGTTTTTAAAAAAGTCAGCATCCTAGATTAAATAGAAAACTTCCAAGAGGTATAATGTGGCTTTTTTTTATTTTGACTTTGCTACAAATTGGTACCGCAATTGCTGCTTTGTCATTAGTTTACGTATTGCTTTTCGGTTTAACATTTGAAGAAATTATTGCCTTAGGACTGCAGAGTATGTTCACTTGTCAGTAGCATGTTAAATACTTTGGATGTTTACTTTAGGAAGGTGTATTCATATTTTGAGTGAGATTGTCATTGTTATTTGAGTGAGACCGTCAATGTCATTTACATATTTGTGGGCCATAGACCAGTCAGGAGTAGGTTTTCCTGGGAAGGCAGTGGAAGGAACTTGGCAATCCTCAGGGATCGTTGTATAAGTATGTAGATAATGGGGGGGATGCACCAAGGCTGATACTGCAGAAATGAAGCAGCTTTGCAGCCTACATGTAAGTCCTGCAGGTCTGTCCTGCTGTTACCCTGGGAGCCTTGGGACGTGTTTCCATTCTTTTTCTGACTCTGTGGGTGATAGGATTTCCTTCCTCAGTTCAGTAATTCTTACGACCTTGAACTCCAAGAGTTAAGTTGCACCAAAGCAACTTGGCTTAAAGAGGAAGTGAAAAAAGGACCAAAAGATAAGAAAGCCTAAGATAAAAAATTACAGTTACATGAAATAATGCCAGTTGAGCCATAAGTAGGCGAAGCAGCTGCCTGCCTGGCTATGTCAATCTTAGGCTTGGAAATGAAAATGTGAAATGAGAAAAAGGGCTGAAGGCAAACTATGAGACTGATACAGATCAGAGATGAGCTCACACAGGCGCTTGTTAAGCATTTCAGGAACAGCGTTAGTGGCATTTAAAAAAAAAAATCTCATGGCATTTTTAACCACTGTCTCCATTGACATTCTTTTACTTTTAAGCAGTGCTTTTCGAGAAATCTCTTTGGGTCCTGGGAAGTAGTAGTTATTTACAGTCAACAGCAAGGTACAAACCAGACTAGGTCTACTAAAAGAACTGTGATGGGTACGAAGTGGGCCAGGATCCTGGTTCTGATACGAGAGTGGATGGCTGCTAACGCTTCTACTGTAGGGAAGGGAAAGGCTGTTTCACGAGAAATTTATGGAGATTTATTCAGAGTCCCTGCAGGGAAACTGCATCAGCCCAGGACTGGAGTGGTATGGGTGCACTGATACCAAGCCTTGGACTGCATTTCTTTAAAACTGCTGCACAGAATCTCACCATTTGATTTTTTTATGTAGTAATGTAGTTAAATATGCAGCTAGTTCTTGTCTACTTTGGCCCACAATGCAGGTAGCCCAAACAAACAAGGCAGCAGAAAGCAACTGGCTCCTCTCCTATCCACTGCTAGAGAACACAGCCTAATTTTCCATGTTTTAACCACGGAAAGGCCTGAACAGATAACATATGTTGTCAGTGGTGTGTGTTCAGCTGGAATGTTGTCTAGGAACCCTATCGGTGGGAGCTTCCTGTTGCGCTGGCGTTTGTTCTGGTGGGGAGCACACACTAGTCAAGTCTGTACTTCTCTGTTACAAAGGCGTAGGAGACCGCCCAGGGCAGCAACCCGTTCTCTTACGTCTTACCCCCCAAACAGAGCAGGCAGTCGTCAGCTCTTCTGACTGATGTTTGGCATAGGTGTCTGCTGTTGCGTTCCAGTGTGATTATTTGATCTAAACGTAGAAATCTTCCATGGATGGCTTGGCAACATGCCAAACCAACAAACCACCCACAATTAACTAGCTTATTGGAATCAGGTTTCAAAATACGCCGAACATGGTCGAACAAAACCTAGGAGGATGTTAATGCGCAGGTTCAATTTTGGCGAATCTTGAGCACAATCAAATTTAAATCAGATCCTTCAAGTATATAAAGGTAGGAGTTGTGAAAAAATGCCTCTATTTCAAGAGCCTTGAGGCATTAATCGAACGCACTGCTTTGTCTATATAACCTCTTAATCTTTTTACCTGATTTTTTCAAAGGACTTTAGAATACAAACGTATAGAATGGCTGGAGGAGAAGCATGTGCTTACTCAGCGCATCACAGAGACAGAAGAGAAATACAACCAAGTGAAGAACAAGTTATGTCGAGCTGCTGTTGCTCAGAAAAAGGCATGCTGACTCTTCCTTTATGAATGATCCAGCTTACGAAAAGTTCAGCTTTACTTTGGCCAGCTAGAATCGTCTTATTATTAAGAGTTTATTTGCAATCTACCGAATATAGTAACAAAATATATTGGTTCTTCAAGAGTAGCATAGAAATATGAAGTGATATGCAAAAGAATATTACAGCCAACAACTTTGTTATAATGCCATCAAAGATTTTGTGAGGCTTTGTGTGTGTGTATATATATATATACACATATATGGTTATTTAAGAGGTGGACTTCTTGATTAGTAAAGATGATGTTTTGGATACCAGACAAATGATGTTTTGTTTATCCTTGATGAAATACTAAAATTTTATATCTTCTAAGCTGATTAATTGTTTATAAGAGCTGAAGATTAATTGTTAGTTTTGTACATTGGACATACAGAGGTTATGAAACCTACCAGTAGCTTTTAAGGTTGTTAAAAGTTGAGGTCAACATGAGGAAAAAAAAAAAAAGGGCAAGCATACTCTATTTTTTTTTTTGTCATGTTTATACTTATTTATACATGGTCATTTAAAGAATTAATTTTGTAATTCTCAAGTACAGTTAGTATTTGTTAGTACAGTTAGTCACTGACCAACGAGTGATTGACAGCTGTGCATCATTCAGTCGCAGCTATGGATCGTTTTCCATCTGTTTCCCATCATGGGGATTCAGAACCTTCAAACAACACAGCACTTCTTAAGGAAGGAAAGTCCTAAAAACTCTCACAGCTTTGAAACCATATACAGCGTAGATGTAATTTTTACATGATCTAATCCATCAAGGCATTACTTAGCTCTGTTTGAAATGTCTGTTTGACAGAGAAAGACTCTCAATGATAATAAACAAAGGAGGATGCAAGAGAAACTAGAACTTTTGGAAGCCAAGATAGAAGAGCTAGAAAAAGAAAATCAGGTGCTAAATAGGTAATAAACTTTGCTTTTTCTTAGCTTGAAAAATGATCTATGCCCAAGATGTGACGTACAAATATGAAGTAATTTTGAAGATACGTGACACTTAGTTTAGTAGCTGGAGTCCAATCTAATGACATTTTCAGCATTAGAATTCTTTGAATGGAGTCCATTTAGGATGGACAGCTAAGGGTCTATGAGACAACTGCAGGGCTGTCTCTTCAGGAAGAAATGGAGGAAAAATATCTGACACGCGTTGCAGGAATCCCTTCAAAAGAAGGAAGTATGTAAAAAAGGAGGTGTGGCAGTGAAGCGGTGTTAGAGTTGAAAGTACATTATGTGAAAATAAATGGAAGGTGGGAAAGAAAAAGGCTTCAGAATTGCAAGAGAAATAGGCTTAGCATCCTCTATGAAAGACAAACTCCTATTTTTTCTCTTCATTGAGTATCTATGGAGGGCTTGATTCAAATAATTAATTTAATGTGGCTCCTGTGGCTCACTACTGTGAATGCTATTAAAAGCTTAATTTATTCCGTGTAAATTCTAATCTGTAATAACACAGATAACTTCACGTGTAGAGGGACTTTCAGATAGACATTTAGGCAGAAGAATATACGCAGATCTTCCACCTTCCAGTTTTTCTGGTATATCGTTTTCCTTTGTAGGCATAATAAACAGTAGAGTACTCATGGAGAGGTATGCTTCTGTGTTGGGATAAGAAAGATTTTAGGCAATAAGAAATTTCTTATTTCCTAGGCAGAATGTTTCCCATGAAGAATATTCACGCCTCCAGAAGAGACTAAAGGACTTGCAACGTAGGCACAATGAATTCCGGAGTTTAATTCTGAATCCTAACATACCGTCACTCAATCCAGTCAGTATAATGTCATCATCTGCCTTGCCTTCTGGGCCTGAAGTGTCCTTCCCCCTTCTTCAGGTGGTGATGTATTACAAGTTGTGAAAATAGTGCAACGAAAGAGGGTACTGGTACAGTCCTTCGTTACAGACCTTAGTCTTAAAGAAGGAGTATTTGATCTTTGAACAGAGGAAGGAAGCTTTGAGGAATGCTTCTGGTGATGTTCCCTTCCTCGCAATAGGAAGGAATTCTTGGAAGACAAATGACACGTTACAGAATGTAACCAACGGGCAGTTTTAACCTGGTTCTCTGTACTTTGTTCTTCTCCTGAGAGGCTTTAAATGGCTCCTTCTGGGCAGGAAAAACCACAGCGGTGTTCTCACGCCATGGTTTCGTTATTAAAAAGCAGTATGGCTGCTCTTGATTTCTTGTGTGGTTAAAAGAGGTTTAGTTACCCTGGTGAGCTTCTGAGTGTGCAGATCTCTCTGGCTGAGGTTGACCAGGCTGACCAGACTTTACAGATTCTGGGTGTCCGAGACCTCCGGCCTGCACGCCTCTTCAGCTGAGAGGAGGAGTGCCTGCACGCGTATTTCTTGCTGATGCTGTTCATCATGAATGTCAGAACAATACCCACAAAACATTGCGGAGTAAAATGTAATGAATAAGGATAGTTTGGACTTCACAATTTCTATTTTAAAATCATTAATTAAAGAAAAATGAAACGATTGCTCATTTTGGTCCCTTGTAGGTGTGCAAAATGTAATAAAGGCACTTTTTTTCTTTATTTCAAGGAGGAACAGCATCAGAGAGAGCTTTCCCTGCTTCGCAAGCGGCTAGAAGAACTAGAAACCACACAGATAAAACAGCTGCAAGATCTTGGACCAGCTCGAGAGCGAGTAACGGCGGGCGCGTACAGGGACTTGGCTAGGAACAAGATCACTGGAGAAGGCGATGCACAAAACGAGGACTCCAAATAAAATCTGCAAACTCCACATGCTGTTAGTTTTCAATAGCTTATCCTTTGTACGTGCTTTTAATATTTTGCCAAAAACATGCTCGTATGTGCATGAATAGCATAAAATATATTCTGCATAGTTTTGTATTTATTTTTGATAGACTGTCATAAATTATCAAACATAATGGTTCAACGCAAAAGCATTGAAAGATTAACTACATTTTGAAATGTTTTTGTATAAAGGATGTAAAATTATTTGGAAGTCAAAACATACGAAATAATCTCATCACATGAAACGTTAAAAAAAACATTTATCAAGGTTTCGGTTGTGCTGACATTTAAAATAAAAATTAAAATCAAATTTTTTTTTTTATAAATCCTTTAAAACTTATTTGATAATATCCTCTTACTCCTTCAATGTAGAAGTTCCTGTATTAGTGTGGAGTTTTGCTGGGTTGCTGTTTTGATGGTTAACGACGCTGTAATCAACATTTGGATTGTTGTTTTGAAGTTCCCACGCAGATAGAGAGGATGAAGTGAAATGGCAAAAGTGCTGAGAACTTTTATTTGCTACCCGTGACGATGTGCCTCTTGTATTTTTATAACGGGAATAAGCAATAATCGGGTTTTTTAATATAATGTAGTAGAGATGAAGTATAACCAATTGCCTTCACATAATGAGACTCTAAGTTTGTATTTGTTGCTACTGTAACTTGTTTACTTCACTACAATAAAATTATTTATTCAAGGTTGAATGTATTTATTGAAAATCTCCCCTCCTTCATTATCAGTTTTGTAACAGAAACCTGGAAAGGATCTTTTTTTTTGACTTGATAGTGAAAACTTCCTGGAAGCGTAGGAATGATTTTATCTGGTTTTTTGGTCTTTTGTTTGGTTTGGGTTTTTGTTTTTTTTTTTTTTTTTCCCCCAAAACAGTGCAGTGAAAGTATGAGACGATGCGCTATGCAGTGCAATTTCTTTTAATAGCTTATTTGGTACTGGTATTAGACTGTAGTACTAGACAACTGAATAACTCCAGTGCACAGGGTGGCATTGTCATTGATGCAGCTTTTCTCTCCAGAGGCTGCATTTTTGATTTTTCCATACAGTACGTAAGTATAAGCATTGTACTGCACTGTCTTGGGGGATTTGTTAGACTTCTCTGAGGAAAACAGTGTAACTGTTAGAAGTAACACAAGGTATTTCTGTTGTCTCCTGCAGGATTAATTTGGGAAAAGTAACTATCTGTGCCTGAGCCGGCTTTGCCAAATGGGATCTTCAGGAAGGTTCACAGGTCTGTAATGGCTGCAAAGAGCTACCTCTCAGCTGGGTAGGTGGTCTTCAGCAAGACTTCTGGCTGTGTCGGGGGGCGAGGGGGCTGTTTGTACCAACTGGGGAAGCCTTGGAGGGCAGAAGGGTACCAGCAGGAGGAAGAAGGATGGTTATCTACTGGTTTGTGGGCTCCCTTTCCCGGTCTGTCTTGGGCTCCTTGCGTGAGAGTTAACGTCCCGTCCCCGCAGCCCCCTCTCCAGAAAGAGTGGTTATCAGGTTGGCCTCGTTTCTAACAGTTTCGGCTTTTTAAAAGCATCATCAGCCTCAGAGCCTTAAAGCAATGAAGTTGTAGTGCAGCTCCCAAAGGGGGTGTAGCGGGCACCGCCTCTTCAGCCTGCCTCTGGCCTGCCGCTGCTTCCCAGAGGCGGGAATCCGGCCGGGAATCCCGGGCCCTGCAGGGAAGTCTCTGCGCAGCAGCTGCGGGGTCGGTACCCCTCTGCCCCCAGCACCACCTGCCGCTGCCCTGTACCGTCCTTTTTGCGCACGTCGCACGACGGCGGCGGTTTGTCCCACCGGCTCCGCCCTGGAGCCTGCCGCGGCGCAGCCAGTGCCTCACGCCCCATCCCTCGCCTGGCCTCGGCGCCGCGACAAGCTGTGCTTGCTTGCTTTTAACCGTTTTCAAGTACACAAGTTAATCAAAATAACCTGCAAATGCATTTTATTCTAGACAAGCCCATACAAACACCAACATGTATTTGTCATTTGCACTTTTTTTTTTTTTTCAATCATTCATTTTAAACAACCAGTTTAAACATTCAGTTTAAACAACAGGAATTACTTCATACGTTAGGAAGATTTGACTTCAAACTAGATGACTGCAAAATAATGCTCTGTAAGCTAGTGTTTGTTAGAAGATACGCTGTTTGCCATAGCAGTTTGCCTGTAAACATGTGAAAATAAGTTAAAGACAAGTTTGCTTTCATTTCGGAGAATTCGATTAGAATTGTTGGGCTGCCATGATACAGCTTTAGTCGGAGGCGGTCCCGTTTGTCCGTGTAACGGTAACTAACAGCGACTTGCAGATGCGCAAGGTGTGCCAGTGTTTTGTGTGCTGACCCAAACCTACCAAAAGAGCCACGACCACTTAATTATACTTCACATCACTTCGTGAGATCCACTCGATGGGTTACAAAGTCCCAGCATGACTTTAAATGGTTTACTAACAGAGTGACGCTGCTTAGGAGGCTTGAATAAAAGGCAAGAATCCTACTGCAGGCTAAAGCTACAGGGCCTGCTTCAACACATACACGTAATTTCTAGAACGCATTAAAGCTAGTGTAGCAAACAAGCAGTAGTACAAATGCGACCGATTTGCGTTTCCTCATCATATAAACACATATAGTGAAGATCACAGGATCAGACCCACGCAAACATTATATTTTACAGCTTTTCAAGCAGAAATGTTGGTTTAGGTTTGGGTTTTTTTTGTTTTTTTCTTCCTGCCTGTACAGAAGGTTACTGTTGAACAAAGCTATCACAGTTCACTCAAATGCACTGCCAGCAAACGCCTGAAGTGGCACAGAACTGCGGAGGCATCTGTCTAACTGGAAAGAGTAATCTGCTCATGCCCCTCCTTTAATATTAATTACTGTGCTTCTTTTAAAGATTAGGTTAAGAATGATTAAAAATCAAGCCCTTAAGTACAGGTATGCTAAGCTTAAGTGCTACTCGAGCCCCAGTCCACTCCTTCAGGACAGAGGCCAAGATAGGTTAGGGTTGGGGTGGGTTTTTTTTTTTCCCGTTAAAATTAAACTTACCGCACTATATTGTGCCAGGCAGAGAACTGCTGAAAGTACTGCAACATTGTAGTGCAGTTTCCTGAACAAAGCCATACATTCCATCAAGTATAAAGTGTAAACTTAATAATAGCAAGTGTAAGACTTGAATTAAAAAGAAAAAACAACAAAAAAAAGCCATCACAGTATGAGTTGGTGGCTGCCCTCGCTGATATGCAAGAGGTACAATTTGTGCAATCACAGGGTAGGGAGGGGGCAGACCAGTAGGCAACGCGTTTTTGTCTTTGCTTTTCCCCACGTTAGCAGGCGGCCTCGCTTCTGCCAAAGCACAGTCAGCGTTCGCCCGCGCTGGCCAACCGCGTGCCGTGGGATTGCGCCTGGTACCAGCTTCTGGTAGCCACTGCACCCAAACCCGCCAGCTTTAGTATTGTTGTACTGCAGCCTCCGGGCTCCTCCAAAGCAGCGGCGCATGCTAATAAATGTTTTGAGTGCTCCGCTGCCTGGGAGCCCTGCATAGGCGTCCCTGGCTGGCGACAGCCCCAGCATAGGCTTCCTGTACTAAACTTGGACCACCTGTGCCGGTCGCAGCCCGTGGCACCCTCGCAGCTGCCAAGGCAGGGGACAGCTCTTCCCTCTCCTGTAGGCCACTGAGCTACGCTGCTCGCCTCCAGCGGTGGGACCCTCCGGAAACGCGTGGAAACGCATCTCCGTCTCATCAACGCCTTACCTCAAACCGAAGGGCAGGCTGCAGCCTCAGTGCCTCCACGTGACTGAAGCAGAGCCCACGGCAACAACAGATGTCAGCTCTGAAGCGGAGGGTAGGACCGCGCTGGCGTGGTAGCAGAGGCAGAGCCACGGCTGCTCCTCCATGGCTTTGCACAGCAGCCGCTGCGCCCCCCCCCCAGCCGCGTCTCAGCAGCGTGGCCGCGCGCCTGCTTTCCAGCTGGGCTAGCTTTGGCCACCAATGCAAATGTAACGGAGCCCCTTCTTTGAAAATGACCGAGCCTCAAAAAAACCCCCCGGCAGGACTAAGGCAGTTACCTCCCCCCGCAACCCTAACTATCCCGTTTATATCAAACGGTTTCTCATACAGCGTCAGAGATTACACCAGCCCTCCTGTGCTTACGTGTTATTATTAAACTAACCCTCTTTTGACAAAGCCTTTGTGTGGACAACCTGAAAAAAAAAAAAAAAAATGCTGGCTTTAGATTTGTGAGGCCCTTGTACCCGAATGGCGAGACTGGCCTGGACTGTCAGCACCGGCGCGTGGGCCGATCACGCACCTGAGCACAGGTTGGTGCACCGGAACGCAGCCATCGCCAGCTGCTTCATCAGCTCACAACCGTGTTCCGATGCGGCGCAGCTGCACGGAGGTTTCATGTGTAAAGCTGCTCACGAGTGTTTCACAGCCGATTTAAGGATGGAAAGGCAGAAATGTAAACACAGACTGATGCCGGCCTCGTGCCTTTCTCCAAAAGCCGCCTCCTCCCCCCGCCTTGCCCAGTGGTTGGCTTCGCTTTGCACGTGGAGCTTCTAACCTGAGGAAGAGAAGTCCTGCCACGCGGCCTTTGGACTTCAGCCCTCAGACCCACTTTTTCTGCTAAACACACTTGTACCGAGTGTCACTTTGGTGCTGTTTTGTTTTTTTTCCCCCGAACAGGAACCAGTGTACATTGGAAACAAACTGCAGCTGACCCGTATTCTGAAGCCGGAACGCATCCTTGCAGTTTGCCAAGGCTGCTGAAAGGATGTGGCGAAGCATCAGTTTTCTCTCTTAAAAAAAGAGCTAAGCGACTCCCCACTTGCAGTGTGTTTTGTGCATCTCCTGCAAGCTTGTTTTTAAGTAAGCGGAAGGCTTACTTAGGCAGTATTTTTGAACCAAAAGGTACATGTGTTCAAGTACCTAAAAATGCTGGCCCTGCCAACGCTAGACTCACTTTCACATGCCCATGTTTGAATATCTACCCCTCCCCATACTTCATTCCCAAACGTAGATATTACTTGGAATGGTCGGAGTGAAGAAGAGTGTCCATATGTTTCAAACCCTGTACATATAGTCAGTCAAAACAGTTTTGGGAGCAGTAGCGCTTATTTAAACCCCCCCACAGTGACGCTGTGAGTCAGTGCTCTGCTCAAAGCCATTTGCATTTTTTCTTTTCATCGAATAAGTCCTTTACTTGCTGGAGCTGTTTCTGGACTTCTTCAAACCCCCGTTCTCGCTCGAGTTTGCTGACAATCTGTTAACAATTATCAAAAAAGAGAATCATTTTTTTAGTGCTTATTTTACTTGCTGTTTTTTAAAGCCTGCTTTTC